TATTCTAACCACGCCCCCAAACATATAAAAACTCAATTCGCCCAAGGCACAGTGCCCTGATGTGGTTCCCAGTGTCTTTAGTGTCCCAATAGCGAGTTCTTCAGTCCTTTTGGGATTTTGGGGATTTGACCCAGCTTGTTATCAACTATTCTGTTTTGTGGTTTCCCTTGAAACTCGGCTTCGTTCCTCGTAATGTATGTGTATTTCTGGCTTCCCTTGACCTTAACTTGTTTTGACGTTTCTTGTAGTTTTCTCTATATTCCGGCCACTCTAAGGACCGGCTTAGGGACTTTCTATCTGTCTCTGTTTCTACTGGTGGGTTTTCACTGTATGTGTTGGGTTAATATTTACATTTCCAGAACAGCCTGTATTTCTTCTGAGGCTATCTGTGTTTTTTTTTTGTATCCAGAACAATTCTTTTGACAGTTGTAGCTGTAATATTTCTTGGTTTCCCTGACCTTGGCTTGGTATCAAGAGATTCCAGACCCTTCCACTTCTTAATAAGTAATTGAACAGTACTGACTGGCATTTTTAAGGCGCTGAGTATATTTTTATATTCTTTTCCATCTTTATAAAGTTACATTACCTTTTTTGGGCAGGTCTTTTGACAATTATTTTCTGCTCCCTATGGCTCAGTATCTAGCCTGCTTGCTCAGTGCATCTATGTGAGAGCTAACAAACCCATTGACTATTTATACATAGACACTAATTGCAATTTAAAAATCCACAGGGTGGGAACTTTTAATTGCCATTTTACCCTGTGTGTCACCTTGTGCATCTGTAACAAAGCCAAACATTCAAGGGTTTATATATATATATATATATATATATATATATATATATATATATATAAAACCAAGGATGATTAGGGCTGCACTCACCTGAACATGCATGTATTATAGGGCGCTGCTGGGGCCAATTTATACAACATACAAAATACATAATCCAGCGCACTCACTCATTCACTAAACAGCTAATGCAAATCTCCCATATTGTAATAGTGTTATTTAAAAACACCTCACCTAGGCAAAAAATAGGGGTTTAGTTGCCGTATCTGATCATACTTTGCATAAGCCTGTCAATGTCACCCATTCTTGGCAGGTCCAACTCGAGCTTGCTCATATTATATTGGTTTAATTTATTTATATATTTGGGAGTACAGTCCAACTCCTTGGTTTTGCACCCCTACCTGTCACAGGTGCCTCATTCAAAGGCTCTATTTAGCCTTTATCCAGGAAGAAGAATTTCCCAAGTAAGTGGATTATTCTCACAAGAGCAGGCATTAGGCAACTAGAGTAGAACCTGCCAAAAATGGGCTACATTGAGGTTGTTGTAGGCTTATGCAATGTATGATCATATATTGTAACTAAACCCCCATTGCCTAGGTGAGGAGTTTTTAAATAAAACTATTACAATCTGTGAGACTTGGAATTGCTGTTTAGTGAATGAGCAAATGCACTGGATTGTGTATTTTGTGTATAAAATAAAATATTGATGCTTTCAGGGTAAACAATTTAATTATACAGTAAGCATATTCACATGAAGACACAGACAATCTCACTAACACAAGCTCATTGATACACAGGCTCACAGACAGACAGACAGACAGACATACAGGCAGACAAACAAACAATCTTATTGATACGCATAAGCTCACTGAAATTAAAAATACAAGCATATGCTCACTGACAGACAATCTCACTGACACACAGACATGCATACTGGCACATACAGACATACTTAGTACAGATACACTCTGACACACATACAAAGTTACTACAGGAAAACTCATTTGTACACAAACAGAAGTTTACCACAGACAAGCTTACTGTCACACACATACACATGCTCACTACAGATAAACTCACTGACAGACATACACATACTCACTACAGACAGGCTCGCTGACAAACATGCTCACTGCAGAAACCCTCACTGACACACAGAAGCTCACTACAGACAAGCTAACTGACACACACACATTAACTACAGAAAGGCTCACTGACACATACATGCTTACTATAGACATGCTCCCTGACAAACACAAGCTCACTTACAGATAAGCTCACTGACACACACACACAAGATCACTTACAGATAAGCTCACTGACAAACACATACTCCCTACAGAAAAGTTCACTGACACACACAAGCTCACTTGCAGATAAGCTCACACAAGCTCACTTACAAATAAGCTCATTGACACACACATGCTCCCTATAGACAATCTCACTGACACACACACAAGCTCACAACAGACAAGCTCACTGACACACACATGCTTTCTACAGACAAGTTTACTGACACAGCCATGCTCACTACAGACAAGCTTTCTGACATACATACATACTCCCTACAGAAAAGTTCACTGACACAAACAGGCTCACTTGCAGATAAGCTCACTGACACACATAGGCTCACTATAGACAAGCTCACTGACACACACAAGCTCACTGCAGACAAGCTCACTGACACGAACATGCATACAAGCTCAGTCACTAGTAGGCACACACACACACACACAATCACTGTCATTGGCTGAAGCCTACCGGGCACTGAAGGCTGTAGGAGCACTGGGTGGTGAACTTGCAATTTTCTGGCTTCTTCCTTCTGGCAATGTCAGCAGTTTAAGTGCAGGGGCAGAGCTTGCATGTGGGAGTAGAGGTTGGTGGGGCATATGAGGCACCAAACTGCTGGGAATTGTGAAGAGAAACTGACAGTGCTCCATCCATTTGCCGGTTGCCTAAATGCAGCTGCACCAGTCCCAAGCACCCCCCTCCTTAATACCCTCAGAGTGACACAGGCTGTCATAGAACATGGTTAAATAATTTAAGGGCATTAGTTTAATTATTAGGGCTGTCTGCTCGGCCCCAGGTGCCACTGCTCACCGGAAACTTTCCCAATATCCCAGTGGGACAGTCCGGCCTTGTTTAAATGTAAAGATATGCCTCTTCATATCTCCTAATGTGCCAGAAGTTTATCTAGAGTCACATCTTTATCTCTGAGGAAGTCAGATCTAAGTCTAGCAGAATATTCTAAACTAGCAGGAGTCTAGAGAGTATGCAACAGGTTTACTTTGAAAAAAAATACTTTTATTTGTTACTAGTAAAATAATTAGGCCTTGAGTTAATATTTTTGGATAAACTTTTCAAATTATTTAATATTTTGAAAATGTAGTATATTAATATTGTCAATTTTGTATAATTATTGATATACTTTTATATATATATTATGTTTGATATATTTTAAAATTTGGAAAAATCATTTTGAAAAGTTTATCTTAAAATGTTAAAACGAGGCCTATATGTTTTACTAGTAACAGATAATAGTAGCAATTTTCTAAGTAAATCTGTTACATACTGTCTAGAGTCCTGCTGGTTTAGTAAGTTCCATTAGACGGAATGAACTATAGATCTGCCTACAGCAGAATAAAGCTGAATAATATGAGTCTGGATAAAATTATTGATTTGCTGTTAGATGCATGCAGTAATTATCTTTGGTTTTAATTTAAATTCTAGATAATTCACAATGAAAATAATTCACTAATCAGTGAAAAAACAGAGACATAGTTAGTATTAGAATTAGTATTCAAATTCAGTGTTTATGTATATGTTTTTGCCGAATTTTATGTGCAATGTTTTTCATAGTATAATATGTATTTCCATGCAGTAAATATTTATTTTAGTGAAAATATATCTTCATAACATAAGCCCTATCTTTATATGTGTTTAAACCAGCATTATTGGAGAGCTATTCCGCTAATCTGTGTGTTTTTATGTTTTACTTTTAGGTGCAAAGTTTATGTGAAAGTAAGTAAGACTTTATTTCCTTTTATATGATGAATGTTATGGAGCAACCTAGTGGCAAAATTGGTAAAGTATATTAAAACCATGGCTAAAATAATATGGTACGGTAGTATAGCTTCTTTGGTATAATTTAATGTGACAGGCGACACCTAGTGGAGATGGAAGAAAATGCAACAACCTCTTACAGTACAGCTTGTATGTTTTCCATCAAATTGGGCTTCATTTTCTTTCCTACCTTTAGATTAATGAAAATGTTGCCAGTATTGAAGTAGTTCCTGTCCTACAAACTTTTACTGGGTTTATTTAACATATTCCGAGGAGAAGGGTTTTCAGCTATGTTCAAATGTTATATGAGCAACTTTTTTTAATAAGATGGATATAAATATTATTGAGCTGCGTTCCTAAGTAGGAAACATATTTAGGACAAATTTGAAATGAGAAATCTTACAGTTGTCTTAAAGGGACACTAAAGTTCTCAGAACAACTACAGCTTAATGTAGTTGTTCTGGTGAGTATAATCAGTACATGCAGGCATTTTCATGCAAACACTGCCTTTTCAGAGAAAAGATAGTGTTTACATTGCCCCTAGGGACACACCAAATGCCCACTCCTCAGATGGCTGGTAGAGGTGCTTTCTGGCTCAGTGCTGCACAGTAGGCAGTTCTGCCATTCAGCATTCCCATGCTTGGCATGGGGAAGCTGAATTTTTCTCATAGAGATGCACATATGTTTTTGAAGCTGTAAAGCTATCATAAGGTTTTTCTAGTAATTTTAACAGTCAATGTCAGTTACCTCCCCCTGCTACCTACTAAGTGTTTGTAAGGATTAGTCTTTCTGTACAGCATTTTTCAATGTTTAAACACTGGTTTTTTTGTAGGTACCAACAAATATAACCTTACTTTTATTGATAATTTCCATATTTATTGTGTAGGCAGGGCCCCATTGCATTGCTTTGCACAGGGGGCTTATAATGCTATTAAGACGTCCTGGTCATAAGTCAAAGAATCCGAGGAAGTATGACTTTTTGTAATTTTCTTGGGATCTAACTTGACATTAATTAAATGACATTAAACACTGCGTGCTAACAATGTGTCTGCCTTATTACCTGATTGCTTAGATTTTATATTCGATTGAAAATGTTTATGTGTATTAGTAACTTGTAAATGCATAATGTCTTTCTTTTATCTGCTCCAGATGTTTCACAGTGCATCTCAAGCAGCAACCAAAGTGCTATTACCGGACTGCCGGAAGGATTTACCCTGCAGAATATTACAGATTTAAATGGCAATAATGTATCATCATCTGATGTTTCTGGTGGTACAACATATAACTTCTGTTATGGAAACTCCTCAGAATCCTGCTGTGTTAATATTACGACAGGTACGTAATTTCTATACAAACTTGACATGGACCCCCAGAATTAAAAAAATGTAATGCTGACATCTAAGAACTATAATCTTCATATTCAAAACATTTAATGCATGGAGGTATGTGTAATTGGTTTTCTTTTTATATAAATATGAGATTTTGTTGAGGTCATATGGAGCCACCAACAACCTCCTTGTTGCTTCTAGATGCTCATGTCTTCATACTTTGGTGCTAATACAGTATTATCTTATGACCTTATGATGATACCAGCAGCTCTGATTCAGTTTGGATGGTAACATTTATTTATAGGTTGTTGTAATAGGATAAGAAGTAAAATAGAAAGAGAGGGGTAAGCAATAACAGGATATACAGATACATGTTGAAGTAGTGATGGTGAGTCACAACTATGTCTGTCTTCAGTAAAACACCAAGCTGCATGGTGTAACTTTAGATTGTAAGCTCATTTAACAAAAGCCATCATTACCTCTTGCTCCTGACAGTCAAACTTGTGAATTGATCGTATTGAACATATTGTACAGTGAAAATGTGTGTGCTTTAAAAATTATATTTGTAATAATAATAATATTTGTGTCCACTAGACGTGAATCCCTCCGCTGTGTATCCTATTCAAAACACATACAAATTAATTATACTGCAGATTTTTTTACTTTAAAAGGGGAATTAATTTTGAATTCCTGACTACTCTCACTACTCTCACTACCTTCACTACCATACAGGGTATTCAAGGCAGAAAAAGCCTAAATGAAAGCGTCCCCATGCTTCCCACCTAACAACATATATCTGCTTACCTCAAATTCTCATAGATTATAAACTTGTTTGAGCAGAGCCTTCTTTACTGCTAAATATCTTCTTCCTATAATTGTAAAGAGCGGTGGAATATTTTGGTGCAATATAAATTATAATTATAATAGTAATTGTTAGGTTGGTGAAGAATTCTTTAGCGCTTAATTGCCATGGACTTCTATTAATTTATAAATTGCTGGTTTCGTCTGTACCTCTGCAGTACTGGGAAGCCCAATTGAACGACACACATGTTGCTAGTTCAAATAGGACTACGTTTTATTGGTTGGACACAATAGTATATGAAATGAACATTATACATGCCCCTTTTTGGATCATCCAATAGGGTACTAAGAAATATTTCTTAAAGGGGCTTAAAGGAAATGTGGATGGGGGGGGAGGGTAGATAGAAACACAAATTATTGCAGCCTACAGGATATGGGGGGAAGGTTAAATAAAATACTAACAGATAGTCACTGCCATACAAAGAAAGGATCCCAATGTATAGGAATGTACAGCCAATGCCCTGTCTAAAATGAACAGAACTTACCTTGTTAAGGAGCATAAAAATAATAATATTCTATTAGTAATACTATAGTGAAATGGTAGAGTCCATTCATTTATCCCCCCTCGCTGATTGTAGAAATGATATGACTCATTGAAATTCCCTTTGAAAACAGAGGGTGAGCTGACATTTTCAGCAAATTTACAGACATTATATCAGCGACTAATGGTTTCTGACAGAGAAATGTGTTTCTCAACAGGCTGGTAATCATAACTAGAGTATAAATGAGGGTGAGTGAGACTTTACGGACAAGACTTTACACTGCAAAATACATAAATAATAATGTTTCTACTCGCTTAGGTAGTGAAGTGATTAAAAATGTTGAAACATCACGATTTACTACAAATTAATATAATAAATACAAACTAGCAGACCTTGAATGCACCTGGTTTGGATATGCAAAAAAAAATCATGTGGATTTGTCCAGGGGTATTCAGATTGCAAAATATGGACATTATTCATGCCTAGAATTTGCAAACTTGGCTCCAAACAAGCCAGAATATTGTGGATTTCAGCCTGTGCAGCTGCTACCAGGTGGCTTAAATTCAGATCTGGATGCTTACAAATATGTGCCAGAATTAGTAAAATCCAAACCCATGGCATGAGGGTTATGGATATAGTGGCTGTCAAGCTGCCAAGTAAAATGTTTAAAATATACTTTTAAATTTCTATAGAGAGGAATAAAACCTCTCTTATCCCCTCTCCTAACATGTCACAGGTTTGGCATATCCTCTAAGCAGTGAGTAGCCACAAGGTAGTGGATAGGTTTATTAGAATAAATGGTTTAAGAAAAGGGGGGCATGTTCACTGTTCTCACTTATTTTCTCAGCACTGCTCAATGTGGTGTGGTTAATAAAATAGCAACTTATGCTAATTTTAACAAGGGCAACAGGTAGGTGATATAGTATAATACATGGGATAAAACATATCAATGTCCCTCAGCCCAATCCATGGGCATCAAGTAGTGGCTAATAATGTATACAGTGGTGTCATGCACACATTACAGGGCAAATCAAAGGAAGTAGGTGTACCTTGTTAGAGTGCTCAGACTGAAATCCAGAGCATTTACTAAGGCTTTTCATGCCTTGCATACTCTATCTGTGAAGAACACTCCATGGGTAAAGACGGTGAGAACAGTCAGGAATTCAAAGTGAAGGCCAAAAAGATTGCAGTACATTTACCTAGGCTCTCCGTAAGCTAAAATGATAATAAATACGTGAACCTTGTGCTCACTGCACCTAGAGGGAGATCAGCTACATCTTGCTGATGAGGCCAAAAGAAGGCTGCAACAATCATCAGGAACTTGCCTGTATTCCAGTCCTGGATTGTCTGATATGCACATGGTATAGGTCCTCTATGTAATGACACAAGGGAACAAAAATATTTTTGAGACCTGAGTTGGGACTAATGGACAGGCAAGCTACGGACCCTCTTTTGTTGTAAGGCCAAAATAGCTAAATTGGAAAATTTCTCCAAGTTAACTATGCTTCCAGTTCAGATACTTTGCTGCTAATTTAAAATTTTAGACCAATGGGTGGTAAGAGGGAATAACTAGAACCAATCACATGGACTGGAGCCTATGTGGTAGTGGCTCCGTAAAATGGACCGTTTTGCTCTTTGGGCAGCAACACACCACTTCCTCGGTAATAATCCTCCAAAGACAAAACAAGTGAAGAAATAGACCAGATGGGTAGTACTGTGCAAGATCGAATGGTTAGATAAGTGATAAGTATTGTGCTCACCTTGTTAAGAGCCTTAGGTGCCTGGCTCCAAGGGTGATTAGCAATGTGCCAATTGTCTGGGATGGCACTCCCCAATAAGGTTCCTAGAGGCTTAAGGACTTGATGGATTAACCAGTAAAAATTTATTGTAATAAAATAAAACAAAATATACTAGGTATATAAAAGAGTGAAAACAAATATGGCTAAAAGTCCAAATAAAAGTCCAAAGTCAGCCAAAACGCATTTCACTGATCTATAAGCTTCCTCAGTCAGCTGTAGTATAGCCTCAGGAGTCTTCTGCTTTTTAAGTGATCAATAACTTGTATGGGTCCTCCCCTTAAGGGTCACATGTTGTGCAATTAACCAATTACAAATTCAGGTTCTTTTTTTCAATTTCTTTATTGGTCCAGAATCACCTGTGATTGGGAAACCCCAATTTGATAGTCCAATTGGCGCCCCTAACTGTCAAATTGGTAAACTCTCATTGGTAGTTCAGAAGTATTAGACTATAGGGCATCCTATCTGGTTTGTGGAAGTGATGTCTTGGGTAATATCGTTTGCCATTTTACGGAGCCAATACAACAAAGGCTCCAGTCTATGTGAGTGATTCTAGTTATTCACTCCACCCATTGCTGCTATAGACCATCTGCACTATATATTTCTGTGTTTTTTTCTCTTTTATGTATGTCAAGCATATATTGCCAAGTGTATTATTGTATTAATAGGGTAAGTGTACCACTCCACTACTATATACATATATTTTTATTCACAATTTTATACTATATATTTTACATGAATATAGCACTCCACTGGTTTTTTTTCCTAGTATTTTAGATTTATTGTGGAATTAAGGGTATTCCACTTCATGTGTTGAGCTGCTTTTCTCTTTAGGCACTATAGAGTATCACCCACTATCCCTGATGAGAGAGAGCTGTTTTTTTTTTAAATTTTAAATTCACTTTGAATTCCAACAAGTCCAGATGTACAAAATTCAGTTAAAATGTTTAAATTCTAAACAGACTTGCAATTATCATTTACACTAAAGTCAAATTTGATCAAACGTTGATCAATCTGAATGGCTAATATCTTGACGGATCCATTTTGTGTTTGGGTTAAAATCGTTGCTTTTCATATCTGAATCCTTTATAAAGTACATGATCTGGACATTTACCAAACACCAAAATTAACAGGTGTTTTGACGAATGCATCCGGTTTGATTTACATTCACAATTTACCATTTACTTTCCTTATGCAAATTAATTGTATAAATCCAGACTATTCACCCGCTAGATGTGAGCACAGTATTTTGCAAGTGAATTATACAAATCCAGACTATTAGCTGCTAGCTAGAAAATCTATATGGAGGTAAAAAATTTCCATTTCCTCATTAAAATGTCTCCTAATTGGTGGCTAAGGATCCCCGGGCCATCCCACCCAAAGTGTGCCCATACCTACCTTCTTACTTTAATAATAGTGAGGTGGCTCAGTTAACCTAAAACAAAATCTTACTTACTTTTAAAATTATTCTTTCTTCTATATTCTTCTTTTTCTTGCCCTTGAAAATCCCTCCCCCCAAAAAACATGATAATTCAACGTAACTTAAAAATAAAAATTGCAAAAACCTAACAAAAAAAGCAAACAAAAATTTGACACCAAAAATAATCAGATCTTGCTATTTCAGGATCCTTAACTAGTGAGGCATTACAAACTTAGCTGTATGGAGGCCCACAAGGCAGCCATAACTATTAAGTTCAGGCAGCCACATGGCCACCATTACAAGTTGTACATATCGCCATATCAGTGATTGCAATAGTCTCACTGAACAATCTCACAGCTGATGTTAAGGTTTAAGGAAATTAAGGTTAGAAGACTGTGATGGCCACTCCAGAACCTTCATCTTTTTCTTCTGTAACCACTGGGGCTCA